TACGTTCGTGAAGCAGTTCAAACCTTTTCTGCTTGGTCGCCACTTCATCATCCGTTCGGACCATAAGGCCTTACAGTGGCTGCAGAAGATTAAGGACGCCGAAGGTCAGCTTGCGCGATGGCAAGAGGTACTGCAACAATTCGATTTTAGTTTTCAGTTCCGTCCAGGGAAGAAACACGCCAATGCGGATGCCATGTCCCGCCGCCCCGCAGACACGGGTGACAAGCTGCCAACTGAGGATTTCCATTTCATATCCGCCCTTACCATCAGTGAGCTAACCCGCCACCATTGGGCTATCGCTCAAAGCACAGATCCCGATACAGCCATAGTTTATGACCACCAGCTCAACGGGAGACATCGCCCGACTGACTCCGAACTGCGTGGTTCATCTGATTCTGCGCGAATCATACGAAGTCATTGGGCTCACCTACTCATGGAAAATGACCTCCTCTTCTTCAAGGACGACACACATAGTCAACCTCGACTGGTTGTCCCCGGCAGCTTAGTCCTGCCTATTCTAGACGATCTGCACCGCGAGCTCGGCCATGTAGGTCATGTGAAAACGGAGGCTGCGGTGAGGCAACGTTTCTGGTGGCCGCGCCTCAGAGAACAAGTCTCCATTTTCTGTAACCCCTGCCCCATGTGCGCCACCTTTAAAGGACCCAACCCCCGACGCCGGGCGCCCCTCCAACCTATGGCAACAGGATTCCCATTTGAACGTGTGGGCATCGACGTGATCGGACCCCTGCCCATTACTCTGACTGGCGACCGCTATATATTAGTGATGGTTGACTACTTCACTAAGTGGGCAGAGGCAGTCGCCCTCCCACGACAGGACGCAGCCTCAGTCACTACCGCCCTTCTCACCACGTGGATTTGCCGCTTCGGAGCCCCCATCTCCTTACATTCCGATTGCGGGGCGAACTTCGAGAGCCGACTAGTGCACGACGTCTGTGACCTACTTCAAATCCATAAAACACACACCACACCGGCTCACCCCGAAGGGAACGGCCAAGTGGAATGAACGAACCGGACCATCATTAACCTGTTAAAAGCCTTCGCGGAAGACCACAACCCCCACAACTGGGACGTTCGGCTGCCATACGCCATGATGGCATATAGATGCGCGGTCCATACCTCGACTGGCTACGCCCCCTTCTTCATGCTCACCGGACGCCATTTCCGCTTACCCTCTGACTCTCAACTCCCGCTCCCAATCTGCGACGACTATCAGCCAGATGCTTATGTCCTAGAGTTGCAGGAAACCTTGAGGACTACGCACAATCTAGCGCGAACTCACCTAGAGTCAGCTTATACACGACAGAAAGCCTATTTCGACCAACACGTCAGTGGCGCACCTTACGGTCCAGGCGACCTGGTACTGCGCTACCGTCCGACTCCACCGGTGGGGACTTCGGCAAAGTTCTTCCATCCGTGGGAGGGTCCCTTCGTCGTCCTCGACTTCTTTCCCCCTTCGACTTATACCATACGTGACGCGCAGTCGGCCGGAGGCCCCGTCCTCACCGTCCACTACGATAAGCTTAAACCTTATAGAGGCCGGCTACCCAACGCGACCGCCGACACCCTTCCCATCCTCCCACCTCACCTGGTCCCTCAACCCTCCGAAGAGGTGGAAGTCACCAGCAGCCCCTCCAGGCAGCGCCTCTGAGGACAGAGCCACCTCTTGAGAGGGGGGGCGTGTAGAGGACGTACTGACCCTGTTGTTTTAATGTGCCCTTACTATGATCTTCCTGTACAATTTGACTGATTGAAGTTCTGAACGGTTTTGTTTTAGTGACCGCCGTCGAAGAGTGCGAGGGGGCCCGTCGAGAGACCGTCCGTAAAGTGGAGGACGAAGAGAAGACGGAACAAGATTAAATTTCCTCTATTGTTGTATTCCCTTTAATAAACTTTATCCACCGTCGATCCATTCTATCCGTGCACGCTTGCCCTTGCTGATGATGGACTTAATTCACTCTAATTCCCAGGGTTCCTGCCGAGGACGCCCTTGTTCAAATAAGAATACCAAGGAAGCCAGCACGGACTGTCGCCTAAAAGGAGAAGAAGGCGAGACCATACCCCCGAGTAACTCGAGTATTACACAACAACTAGAGCAAACCGAAATTTACCCAACAGGAAAATAATTTCAAGGTCAGGCCGATATCAAAGTTCTTCAATTGCCATGAAGGACATATTATTCATGCCCCCGAAAACTACCAAACTGCAAACTTCAATTTTT